TCGGTGGGGTGGGTGCTCACCCAGCCGTGCTGCTGCTGTCTGCGAGAGACCTGCCTCAGGGCTGCATCCCAACACACGCAGCCCCCATCTCCCCTCTGGATCCGTAGGCAGGGGCACTGGCATTGACTGTGCCATGGTGCCTCCCAGGATCGAGCCCAGACTCCATCCTGCTGCTTGTACTGAATCCCAGCTTAGCCTCACCTGAGCCTACCGTGGGGAGGGTGCGGCAGGGCTGGACTGTGTCCTCCCCAAGCCCAGTGACAGCCTGCAGCCGTGCCGTGTGGCGGGGAGCTGCTGCCTGCAACCCTGGCACCAAAGAGCTGCCAGAGATGAAACAAGGAAAGCCCCACAGCCTGCTAGTGGGCATATGAGGAAGGGACGTGTGTGAGCAGAGCCCCACGTGTCTCTGTAGGGATGGAGGGGACAGCACCCCAAACCCCTCTGTGCTCTGCATCCTTAGACCACGCTGGTGGGGTGATCCCATGGTCCTAAGTGTGTCTCTTGGATGGCTGGATGTGGCCAGCAGCATCCCAAGCAGCTCCTTCCTTGCCTCCAGGCCAAGCTGCCGCGCTGGTGACCGCTCCGTGACGTCTGTGATATCACCCGGGCATCATGGCACACCTGGTTGCTTGACCAAATGGTCCTTGATACTGGTGTGGGAGGAAGCCACAAACCCCAGGGGCGCCAGCCATGGCTTAGGGAGATGGGAGGGTTTCTTGGCCACGCTGCGTTTTGTGGTCCGGGCGTGTGCAACACTTGTGGAGCATCCTTTTCTGTCCAGCCCATCTGCAAAGAGCCACGGCTCTACGGTCGGTGCCTCCTCCTCTGCTCCTCTCCCGCAGGACCGAGACTTCATCATGACCTTCAATACCTCACTGCATCGCTCGTGGTGGATGGAGAACGGGCCGGGCTGCCTGGTGACGCCGGTAATGAACTCCAACCTGGCACCCGAGGACCATCACGTCATCACGGTCAGCGGCTGCCTGTTCGACTACCAGTACATCGAGGTGGTGAGCAGTGCCACGCAGATATTCCTGGCGGTAAGGGCAGCTGCCGGCACCTCCCCATCCCGGACTGTGCAGCGAGAGAGGGGGGATGATGGCCAGGACTGGGGTGGGCAGAGCCGCCGTCATCCAGCAGCCATCACGCATCAGTGCCCGTTTATAGCATCGAGGGCTGGGAAGAGAGGAGCAGACGGAGCCTATGCCAGCACCCCGGGGGTGCTGCCCGCTCCAAAACCTGGTTGCTGTGGGCTGGATGCTGTAGGAATCGGGGGTTTCTCGGTATCATGTGCCCAGGCGCTGTGTTGCTGCAGTGTGAGCTGCTGGGGTGTGCTGCTTGCTGGAGAGGGAGGGTCCCCCTTTCCCAGTGGCTGTCTCACCCCATCAGGGGTGGAAGGGGACACACTTGGATGCAAAGCTCCTGGGGAGCCTTGGGGGCTGCAAGAAAATAAAGCTTGGAAGGGAATTGGGGTGCCGAGCAGCTGCTGTGCACACCCTAAAGAGACACCCAGTGCTCGGAGTGGCTCAGCACCCCCGGCACTGCCATCCCAGTGTGCTGCCAGGCTGTACCCCCAAGAGCCACCCCCAGCTCCCCCTAGCACAGCTAAAACTATCCAATCTCACTGCATCCCAAACCATCACCCGGATGCCCCAAGAGATGAGTTCCAGCAGCCCTGATCCTGCCCAGGGTCCCCCCAGGGCGCTCCCAGGCATCCACCTCACAGCATCCACCTCTGCCCCCACCCCCCCCAGCATTTGCTGGTCGTGATGCCTGTCACCCCGATAACCCACTTCTCTGCCCGCTTTTGTTTCACAGCTCTTCGGCTTTGTCTATGCCTGCTACGTCAGCAAAGTGTTCCTGGAGGAAGAAGACAGCTGTAAGTGCTT